AGTGGTGGCAGGTGGCCTTCTCCGCGGCTCCTCCTACCTGAGCAGGCAGGAGTCTGGCCCAGAGCCTGCGGCCGGAGAGGTGGCCGAGGCTCAGGAAACTGAACTGGAGCCGAGCTTCGCCAACGCCCAGGCTGGGAGGTGCTGAGAGCTCTCGGAAGCGGAGCTGGTCACGGGCGCCCGCTGCCTCTCCTGCCACCCTCCCGGGTGCGAGCCTACTGGCCGTCTGTCCGCGTGGGCGAGGGGGCAGCTGGTCCTGGTGTCGGCCACATGGAGGGCGGCCCCTGTGGGCCATGTGAGGAGCTGGTAGGCACGCCTCGCTGACGCTCTGCAGTGAAACAGGTCCTGCGTTGTCCTTGGCTCAGGAAGGGCCTTGAGGGCCCACTGACTGGGGCGTCAGGTGTGGGGAGGCAGGGGACCCAAGCCGCCCAGGCCTTGGTCTCCCAGGGCTGACGGCATGGCGTTTCTTCCTCACAGACCCGGCCAGGGCGGTGTCCGTCGCCTGCTGCTCGTGTGTGCGTGCTGTGGACGGGAAGGCGGTCTGCGGCCAGTGTGCACGGGCCCTGTGCGGGCGGTGTGTGCGTGCCTGCTGGGGCTGCGGCGCCGTGGCCTGCGCCCTGTGTGGCCTCCTGGAGTAAGTGTCTCTCCCTCCAGCAGAGCTGCCCAGCGGGTGGGCAGCCCCGGGGCACGGTGGTGGGGCTCGGTGGTGGGGCTCAGGCAGCGGCCTCCCGAGTGTGGTGCATGCTGGGCCCTGGGCTTCCTCGGGAGGAGCCGGCGGGCCTGCAGAGCTGCACCTGGGTGACTATGAGTGCACTGCAGAGGCAGTGGGCCAGACAGGAGTCCCCTGCTGCAGCCTGGGCTGCACTTGCTCACTGGCGCTGTGGCGGCCACACCCTGATAGCACGGACAGGACAACCCGAGCCTTCCTAGGGCTTCATGGAGGCCTAGTGCCAGGTGTGGCCTTCGCTGCTCGCTCTCAACCCCACAGCTCCCGGGCCTTTTGCTCCTCCCCCTCAGGCCTGATGCACCAGAAGCACCCTCGTTTACACCCGTCCATGGGGACTGGCGTGGCCCACTGCGCCCTGGGTTCCTGGGAGCTGGGCGGCAGGTTTCTGTCCTTTGAACCCCAGCTCACCACACATGCGCATGGCAGCCGTGCAGGCTGGCTGGGCCAGCTGGTCGTGCTCACCTTGCAGCCTGGCTCCTCTGCCCAGCCTCTCCTGGCTTCTGGTGCTCTGGATGGCCGCCTGCCCCGTCCTCCTGTTGCCTCCCCATCGAGTGGTGTTCCCGGCCCAGGGCCCGCCCTCCAGGTCGGCCTTGGCTGATACCTCCACAGCACCCCTGTCTGCACGGTCACGTGACGTGCCAGGCCTCCCTGTCATGTCAGGCACATGTGCCAGGGTGCCCATCTCTCCTCTTGGGAGAGATAAACTTCAAGCTGAGGCATGCTGCGTTTGGGACTGCCACCGAGCCGGGACAAGCTCACCGTAACGCCCCTCCCCTGTGCTGCAGCTCCGGTGACACGTGTGAGGAAGTGCTGTGTGCCAGCTGCGCCATGTTCGAAGCCTGAGGGCGCCGGCCTGTCCTCCCGAGGCCCACCGGTGCAAGGCTTTCCTGCCTTGTATCATGTACCCTCGCGACAGCATGAATAAAGCTCTATATTTGCACAGGGGCTCTGGCTCAGCTCGGGTGTGGTGGTGCAGGCCCAGGCCGGGACGTGTCCCCTGCACATGCCTGGCCGCTCCCATGCGGGCCTCGATTTCTCGCTCCACTGCACAGGTGGGAAGGCCAAAGCTGAATGCACCTGCGTCCAGCCAGCACTCGGGAGAAAGGGCACAGGTGTGTGACCACGTGTGAGGCTACCTCACAGCCCTGTCTGTCCCACCCCAGGAGCCAAGATGCAGCAGGGCTGTCCCGGTGGAGCTGAGGAGACAGCCCCAAACATTTGAGATGCGGTCTGTATGGGGTCTTGGAGGAAGAGGGCAGGCAGGCTGCTCCCCACGTGACGGTCCCTGAAGGACCGATTTCAGCGAGGGGCCCCTGGCTATGTGGAGCTATTTTTGTGGGTTGTGGGTTCGCTGAACAGCCCAGGACTGGAGGGTGGGCTGCAGTGCAGGGGGACCGAGGGAACCTCTGCTTCGGCAGGTTGAGGCAGTTAAGGGTCAGCCAGAGCAACTCGAGTTTACATGCCGAGACTAGGATGAAAACTGCCATGGAGTGCTCCCTCGGGGCTGGGGAAGAGCCCTAGAGGGACACCGGCCAGTCCCCTTGACAGGGTGGGCCGGAAGGGCGCTGGAGGAGCTCAGGTGGGTGCAGGCGGCTCCAGCTGGGTCATGAGGCCAGCTTAGCCCTGATGAGACTGCTTCGCTCCTTCCTGGCTATTAAAACAGGGCCTACAGGGCCAGGTGATTAAGGTGATAGGCCTTACATAGCCAGCTGCAGTTCAGGTCCCAGACTGGCAACTGAAAATGACTCCAGGCATGTGGGGGGGGGGGGGGGGGGGGGACAGAACCAA